TGATGATGATGCTGATGCTGATGGTGATGATGATGATGATGATGATGATGATGCTGATGCTGATGCTGATGCTGATGCTGATGATGATGGTGATGGTGATGTGATGATTATGGTTCTTACTGTTGTCATTGTTGTTGCTTAACATTACTATTGTCGGTATTCTTATTATTATGATTATAAATTACAGTTTTTGTTATCATTGTTGTTAGCTCGCTTATTCTTACCATGGTTGTTGTTGTTGCTGCTGTTGCTGCTGCTGTTGTTGTGCCTTCGAACTTGGTGGAACGCTTCCGCCGTAACTCCTCAGAACTCGAAAGTTTGTGATGCGAGGCCGGGGGATGGTAAAGCACCTAGACTTCCATCAATCTCCCACCAATACGATCAGCTGGCAATGTTGTGTTATGTGTCGCTCGTATAAGTAGTCGACACAGAACCGGTGCAAGGTCCAGGGTTCCTCGTCATTGAGCGTTCGCGGCCTTTCTACGAGGTGTATTCCAGCGCTCATGTGATGCTCGTTTGCCCAGGCCAACCAGCAGCTCTTGAGCAATGAGTGCGATGCTGCCACAAGTTTGCTGCTTCGCGCGACGGAGCAGCTGCACAGTGCCAGCTCCGGTTCGTGAGTCTCTCCGGCCTTTCCTTCGTTTTTGTGTGTTGTTCATCTTGTCTCGTCTATCTCCCTCCCTCTCTCTCACTCGCATGGCGGTTGCAGCCGAACATGACGAACTCACATGTCGGTGCTTAAACAGCAAGACACCAACCTGCCCTTCTTTGGGGATGTACAAAGTTTACATTTCCAGTTGGCCCTGCTCGACCTTCGGTCGCAGCGTCATCGCTTTAAGGTTCAGCCTTCTTGAGCTGCGGGCAGGGTTCATTGAAAAGACGTCCGTGATGCCACGGGGAGAACCTTTGCTTCAGGCGTGTCCGTTTCAGTAGAGTCAGGGAACATGCGCATGATCCCCGCAGCTGTTGCGGCCGCCAGCTCCAATTTGTGCATGTGCTGAGAAGATCAGCCCTGGGTAGTTAGTCGAACTGCCCCTGGGGCTGACATTGCCCGGTGGCAAAAGGCCCAGGCCATGACTACTACAAGTACCCTCACCAGTATGGTAAACCAAGAGCTGAACGGCTTTGTCAACGCAACAGTTGCTAGGTGGCATAGCCCAGCACTCGATTTCCAGGAGTGCACGAATTACCCTAAGCCCCAAACCCTACCCCGAAACAGCCAACCTCTAAGAAACCCCTGACTTCCAAGGTTACATTTCGAGTTCGAGCTGAGACAAATTTGGGGGATCATGTCTACCTCGTGGGAAGCGGGGCCTCCCTGGGGTCTTGGAAGCCACAGGCAGGCATCGCACTCCGCACGCATGAGGAGGCCTACCCTCTCTGGTGGACGACGATCCAGATCCCCCTAGACAGCCGGTTGAAGCAGAGCATCATGATGGAGTACAAGTTCGTGATCCGCCGCAATGAAGGGCAGATGGACTGGGAAGACGGCGCAAATCGAGTACTTCCGCTCTCCTTGAGACCCGATGGAAACTTGGAGAGCACCCCCCCAGAGATGGCCGTCTTCGGCGAAAATCGTGATGAGAGGCTACAGTCCCCTACCCTAGTCCCTGTCATGACGACGAGCACCTGCTTGGCGGACCTGAACTCTGATAGCCCTGATGATATGTCTCAGTCTTCTTCCGACAGCTCACCTCAACCTGTCAAAGTGGCAAGTTCGATTCCGAAAGCGAAAGCGAAAAGTTCTCCATACAGTCCCTTCAATCCAATTGCAAGACCTTCACCCAGACCTTCAACAAGACCTTCACCTACGCCTTCCTCCGTGGAAAATTCACCAACGCCTCTCAAGATTGTGAGGGTGCCCAGCAAGCCGGTGAGCCGGCCCAAGCCCAACAAGAGCCCCTCCGTTGAGGTGGGTGGTTCTCAAAATAGGGTCCCTTTTTGGGTCCTTATTATAATACGGCACCTATTATTTAGGGTACCCCCAAAAGGGACCATAATTTTGACAACTGCCCAGGTGGACAACCAAGTTGCTAGCAAGGGCAAGTCTCCACAGGCTCCAGTGGCGAAGTCGCCACAACCCGCCCCAGTGGCAAAGTCACCGACGGCTACTTGGCAGCCATAAGTAAAGTGAGAGGTCTTCTTGGGTATAGAGCTAAACATCGAACCTTTCTGCGCCCGTTCCGGACCTGAACAAGTAAGGTTGAGGAAGTGGCGAAGCCACCGCAAGACAAGAAGGAGACAACGGCCCAAGTCGTCAAAGAAACGCCGCCAGCTGTCAAAACCGAGCGACCACCCCAAGTTGCTAAAGTGGAAAGTGTGCCAGAGCCTGTCAAAGTGACCAGCTCTCTTGAGGACGTGGCTTGGCTGCTCTTGTAAATTGGTTTGCTCAGAGAAGGGACGCCCAAACATAGACGCATCCCGTCAGACCCGGTGATGAAAAACAAGCACTTGGGACGCAGTACCGTCATTGTAAACAGTAGGCAATAAAATCACACAGTAATACAGACATCTACTACAGAGGCACTTTTAGGTGATGCGGCAGCAGCAGCAGCACGACAACTATCTTGTGCAGCTCAGGTGAAAGTGGAAAGTGCCAAGATCATTCCTGTCAGCCCGCAGGCTTGGCACAGAAATGACTTGAAGTTGCCGTTGTTTCAGGTTCGAGTTCGTTGAAGTCCCCTCTTGCTGGCGTGTGCAAAGTAACGCGTGCAACATGTCGGGCGAACCAGGACAGCCTGCCAGTGGGGTATAGACTGTGCAGCAAGTGCCCGCTTGTGATTGAACAAGTCCCTCACTTGGCCCTGACTCCGAATACAGTTCGTAAAAGTTCAACTCGCGGACACTTCTCCTTGTTGTCGATGTCTGACCATCATAGTCTTCGTCACTCTACGGCAGCCGTTGTACGACCTCGGCAAGGACCACTTCTGCTACCGCAACTGTTGTTGTTGCTGCTTCTGCTGCTGCTGCTGCTGCTGCTGCTGCTGCTGCTGCTGCTGCTGCTGCTGCTGCCACGACCAAGACGACTACGACTTCTGCTACTGCTGTTGCTGTTACTCTTGCTACTACCATTGTTATTATTATTATTACTACTACTACTACCACTACTACTACTACTACTACTACTACTACTACTACTGCTACTGCTACTGCTACTGCAACTGCTACTGCTACTGCTACTGCGACTACTTCGACTACTGCTACTAATGTTGCTAATGCTGCTACTACTACTACTACTATTACTACTACTGCTACTGCTAGTACTAGTACTAGTACGTAACTACTACTACTACTACTACTACTACTACTACTACTACTACTGTGACTAGAGCTGAAAGCAGGTGCTCAAGCCTCAGTCCATCAAGCCCATCAACCCGCGTTACCTCTTTAATGCCGGAGCCCATCGTCTTGCCAAGCCAGCTGGACGCTGTGAAGATGCCCCATGGCTGAAGTTTGTTCACACCACTGTTCTGTCACTGTTATATAGTTCTTAATTAGCATGACCGTGCTGGTTGGATTAGGAGCGCGTTCGCGCGAGTAATTTGGAACACAGAGTTCACACAGCATCTCGATCGAATCCGCATCGAAAGGCCTTCTTCTTCAGCACGAACGCAGCCGGTGTCGCAGATGGGGTGGGCCAGATGGAACAATTCAAAGAGTACGGAGTCGACGCCGCCGCCTACTCCGACGAAATCATGCGTCTCAGCGCAGAATACATGCACGAGCAGCTTGTTTGCATGAGTTCGAACTGCACTGGGCTGCTTCGGAGCTTGTTGCTGCATCATGCTGCATCCGTACTCGTCTATTAGCTTGAAGAAGCAGGATGTCATATGACCTGCATGTAATATGCATTGCAAGAGAGCATACATAAGCTTGCTTGCCGAATCTGAGTGTGGAAGGGCTGCCGTCGTCCTGACAGTTGGCATTTTGTGAGCTGTTCTTGGGCCCTCACGACTCGCATCTTCCTTGCGAAGACGGCCCCAGTCAGTATTTCGTCACACTGTACATGTTCGTCGAGACTCTGCCTGTCTCGTATCGTTGGGTTTTGTTCCGCATGTCTGTGGGGGTGTATGTGTGCGTTTCTGTTTGTGTGGTCGTGCTTTCTGTTGTGCCTCCGTGCCATGTTCTGCCCTTGTCGATTCTTCAAATCATTGTCCTCGTGTCGTATCCTCATGTTGTTCCTCGCGTCGTGCCTAATGCTTCTCGTGGTCTTCCTGTCGCATCGCCATGGAGCATCTTGCGTTGCAGGTCGTGTTATGCCTCGCATCTCATGACACGCCGCACATCTTGCCGGGGTCGTTCCGAAGTTTGCGAACGCAGCCTTGCCGGAACTGCAGTAAAGCCCCCTTTGTACCGAACCTTCAGGCGATGCGCGCATACAAGCCAGGAAAAGCATGCTGCTATCTGTGTTGTATCCCGTTTCAGGTTGTTCCCTAAACCCTATACTCGCCTTCAGCGAGCGTGCGCGAATCGAAAAAACCCATACTTCACTGATAAGGAATCCTACGGGCAGCCCAGCCGCAGCTATGGCCTCGGCCGAGCAGGGCGCAAAGTCTTTTGGCGCCACCACGGCCTTGGTCATGGCCCTGGAAGGCAATGGGATTTGGGGGTTTAGCTCCCAAAGGCTCGACATGTTCGCAAGCCTAGATGAGGTTCTGCTTCGAGTTGAACAAAGCCAACACTTAGCCAGTTTTTGTCCTTGTACACTCGCGGTCGTTACCAGAGTATCTAGGCTATGTGATGGAGAAGTCTTCGTCTTGCTCTCAGTCTGCAAGCACGATTGCTCTTCTTATTGTCGCTGGTCGAAGTGATCCTCGTGGGGTGGCGGTCGTTGTCGTCGTGGTCGCGGTTTGTTGCCGCTACTTGCAGCAGTACATACTTTTTCATCGATGAACCACTTCCGATAGCAAAAGGACGATGGTAGTGAGTACATTTTAAACAAGCCTTCTTATGCGACTATCGCACATATTATTCTCGCTACGATGTTTCAGGCTGCAGGTCACGGCTTTTGGGGTGTTGGGGCTTGCGAAGAAAGAACGGGTTCCAGATCCATGAGCATCCTTTGCAGTGCGGGGGCAAAGTTCCGGTTTCACATGTTGAGCTCGGAGGGCGAGTAACCCTTGGTGACGGCTGTGGGTCGAAGATGCCTGGCGGCCCACACAGTGGATGGCTCCAAGAGTACTTCAAATATCTGGAGCTAGCGGCAACAGTTTCAATACTCATAGGTTGTCTGTATGGTTCAATTCGGGTCTTCGAGTAACATGAGTCGGAGCAGTTCTGTCGGATGGGAGGGTAGTGAGCACGACGGCCGGTTAAAGACGGCAGACGTCCCTGATCGTCTTCCACCATCACCCTGTGGTCTTGCCAGCCAGTAGTTCTTCAGGACTTATTCGTTGCAACGTGGGAGTTGTAGGCTTGTTTGAATAGTAATAGGATCCTTATTGAAGGGACCATTTCCCAAAGAAGCCCCCCCCCCCCCCACCACCTGTTGCTGGGCCACTCTCCCAACCCAGACCAAGCCGTGGCTACGACGCTGCCAGGCCAGATCGTTCGCGTGGCCAACTTAGGAGACAGCGGCTTCATGCACCTAGGTGGGGCAGTGGAGTAGTTTATAGTGCATAGTTTCCTGTGCTTTATGGTAGCGTCTGGTTATTTGAACGTGAAAAGCCCGAAGATACCTAGAACCTAGAGCTCTAAAGCCCGTAGCCCTCCACCCTAAACCGAGCCCTATCCGGCCAACCCAGGCACCTCCGACCCAAAGATTGGGGGATGGAAATCGTCCAGAGCCTCGTCCGCTCCACACCGGATTCATGGGATATGATGTTGCGAGATGACGCAGGTCGTGGGCTATTGAATGGGCAGAAGCATCAGTCCTGACATTCCCTTTTTGTCCCTTTGCAGTTTTAGTGAAAACCCAATGCTTCTTGGCTCCAGAGTATGGTTGTTCCGGTCCGACAGTTGCAAACCGGCCGTTCTGCCAAGGGATTCAACGTTTGCTGGGTTTCAGCAGGTTTTGGCTTGATGAGTTTTGTTGGCAAGCTGTCTGGGCCATCCCGGCACCCTCAATCTAAATTTCCGCCCAACCCACTTGGAGCTGCAAAACTAGAAGCCACACAGCAACGAGAGCCTCGAACGCTCAACCTACCCAGGGCTTACCCAAACAAATATGACAACTCCTACTATAGACACCCCGCTGTCTGCGAGTATCGGTGCTTTTGGGCCCGTTGGGGCTAAACAGCTGCCCAAGGACTTCACGGGAGCAGACCCACGGATGGAACTGCCCGTACCAACTTACAAGGGTTCCCGAGGAGAGCGTGGTTCAAGCAATACTTCTAGCATTCATTATTAGTGTTATTGTTATTGTTATTGTTATAGTTACTGTTATTGTTATTGTTATTATTGTTGTTGTTGTTGTTGTTGT